TCTTACCTACATGAGGCTTCCATCTCAGTCCTAATTGTCAGTGCCCTGGCTAAGTTTATAGGTAGATAGATGTTTTGAAGTGCCTCTATGATCTGGCCTCTTCCTGCTTACAGAAGTTTTTTTTTCAATTGTAACTTTTTACTGAAATACAGCATATACTAAAAAGTGTACAGTTATTAGTGTACAGTTCAATTAATTGCCCCCAAATGACAAGCATCCAGATTAACAAATAGATGGTTACCAACATCCCCAGAAGCTCCTTTGGCTCCTCCTTCCAGTCATTCCTCCTAGCTTGTACCCTGTTTTTGAGCTAATTACAGTCTCCCCACCACACACTCCATCCTCAGCACTGTTATCTCTCTCTCTGCCTGCCTGTGTACAAGCTGTTCCTGTGGACTGCCCATCCTCACCTACTCATTGTTCAAAACTCAGGTGTCAGCTTCCCCTGATGGGTTTTCTTTGTACTTTTCTGCTGTATTTTTGTATTTTGTGATTGTTTACTGGGAACTCCCTGAGGACAGAGACTGAGTCACCAATTGCCCTGGCATCCGACGCAAGTCTTGGCATAGAGCAGGCATTCCAGAAGTGTTTGTTTATTATACAGTTTGTCTTAAATATTTGAAGTCACTTTTTATCTTTTTTAATCTTTTCTGCCCTTACCCCAAACACATGTCATTCTTCTCTGCTGTCCTAACATCCTCTTCTTGCCCCATCTACTTTTTCAAAACCCATTAACCCTTTCTGGGTCTCTCTTGTGCCTCCAGATTCTCCCTCATTTCTGCTGAGATTGTGCCTCATGTGCACCTGCCCCAGCATCCCACACTCGGACGCTGCTGACTATTGCAGCACCATATGTCTGCCCCCGGGTTGCAGGCCTCAGCCACCCAGTAGTTTCCAAAGAGCATTCTACACCTGTATGGTCCCTGTCACTGGTCCTCACCTGCTACCTATATGATTCAAGACAAATTTATTTTATGCCTTTTGCACATGTTTGATTCTTTTTCAAAAGTTTTCATTGTCCAGTAACATTGATTTTCTTTAATATGCTTGTATTATTATTATTATTATTATTATTTTTAAAGGAGTTCTGCAAGGTTGGTTTGAATTGCAAGCTTGATGGTTTGAGCTCACCAGCCACTCCTTGGAAACGCTATACAGAGTTGCTATGAGTTGGAACTGACTCGACAGCACTTAACAACAAACAACATTTTTTACAAAGAGTATCATGTATTTTGCTGAATGGTATTCATTCATTCATATGCTAGGTGTTGGGGATTCAAAATCAAGAGAAGCTATTGCCCTTAACAAACTCATACACAAGTGGAGAGAGAAATATTAGCAAAGTATTATAAGACAGTATTAGTATGAAGCTCATTAACACAGGGGTTAGAAAGGATAGCACTGGAGTCAGTTGTGTAGCTTTAGGTATGTTTCTTAGCCTCTCTGTTTCTGTAACTTCGTTTCTTTGCTTGTAGAATGGGTGTGGTTAAATGCTGTCAAGTTGATTCTAACTCATAACGACTCTGTATAGGGTGTATGAGGAGCAGCTAGTGAGTTTGAACCACCAACCTTTTGGTTAACAGTCCAGTGCTTATCCAACAGCGCCACACCAGGACTCCATAGAATAGGTTGCTGTTGTTAAGTGTTGTTAAGTAGGTTTCTGAGGAACGGCTGATGAGTTTGAACCGCTTACCTTGTGGTTGAGTGTGTATCCACACAGGGTCAAACATTATTCATTAAATTTCAGTAAAGCGATTTGAGTAGAATAATGAAGCTTTCACAAGTAGGATATCTACTGAGGGCCTCTAATAATCAGGCACTGTTCTAGATGGAGGGAAAATCTGTACAGTGATGCCACCAAGTAAGTGCTCAGTAAGTGTTGTCACTGTTGGATAGGCACTGGACTGTTAACTGCAAGGTCAGTGGTTCAAACCTACCAACCACTTCTTGGAACCCCTATACAGAGTCACTTTGAGTTGGAACCGACTCAATGGCACTCAACAACAATGGTATTATGACTATTGTTATCACCTGTGCTTGGGCTTCATAGTGACCATTGAAGGATGGGTGTCTCCTAGAAGGACAGCTTAGGCAGAGGGAATAGTGTAAGAATAGACACAGAGAATGAAAGGGTGTGATTTTTTCACATATGGAGGAAAGAGGACAGGGTATGTGTGGGAGAATGCTGAGAGGTGAAACTGAAGTGGTAAGACCCAGATTGAACAGTATTGGCCCTGTTGGATTTTGGACTTAATCCCATTGGTGAAGTGGCACCATCAGAAATTTTTAAAGAGGAAGAATCCTTCTAGTGCTTCTGTGGAGGATAGATTAGGTGGGAGGGGGTTGAAGAGACCTCGAGGAGGAGGCTGTAGAAAAACTCCTGGGGAGAGATGATGAAAGCAAAAACAGAAGTAATGGATGCTCTGGAGGTGGATCAACAGGATAAGGTGTTCGGAGTGTGGGAACTGGAGGGGTGAAGACTAGCTAAGTTCTCTGGGTGGATGTGGATGCCACTTACTAACAGAGGGAACCTTTCCTGAAGATTTCACCCAAGGAAGAAAGAGTGTTCTTTCTGATCCTGGATATCATTATTCTAAAACTCACAAGTCCATTATATTAAATCTTTTCTTCTCTCTTGAACCTTATAGACAGCTGCTACAGACAAATCATTATTGATCTTAAGCAATTAAGAGTGGAAAGTGGCTGTGTTTATTTCACTCCCTGCTGTCTCCTGGGGAGGAGAGAGGTAAAAGTCACCTGTTTGTTTTTACCACATTTGCAAGAGTGTACAGAGTTGGCACATTAGCTCCTCTGGTACAGATACAGGATTTATTCTCTCTCTCATTCCCAACCCTGTAGAAAACCATGTTAAATTAAAAAGTTTAATTCCAGTTTTTTCCTTTCTTAGCCTGTATCCCACAAAATGCCATTCATATTTTTCACCAAATCAAAGTATCCTGAGAACACCCTTAGCAATTGGGCTCCAAAACAGCACCTTTCTCACTACTGCATCTCCTTATCTCTGAGTGTGACCTGGTTTTAGTTCTAGGATTCTATAGCTCAACAAGTGTGTGGGGGCCTCTACTGGTGGCATGGCTTGACAAGGCATGATTCTGTCCTTTCTCAATCATATTTACTAGTACTTTGGATACAGGACATTATGTCTGGCAATAATCAACATGGCAAGACAGCCTCACCCCCATAGAATTTTGTCCTTGGTCTTTAATTCCAGCTTCTTCCTTTCTCTGCCTTTCTTCCACTCTGTATCAATCAGGAATTATTCCTAGCTAGTGAGATTCCTTGGCTTGAGGGATGGAACACTCAAAGTTCTTTTCCTCCTATTTTTTCTCCTCTGATGTTGCCACACTCCCTTTTCCAAAGTGTTTCTTAAGTGTTAACAAATATTAGCAAAGAGCCTATGAATCTTCTCCTTTTGTTTATCTCTGGGAGAGGTAAAACTCCTTGATGGTGAGGTGGTGTCTCCTGTACTTTGAACATGCTATAAGGAGAGACCAGTCCCTGGAGAAGGACATCACATCCGGTTTGGTAAAGTAGAGGATAATTGAAAACAAAGAGAAGACCTGCAACAAGATCAAGTGACGCAGTGGCTGCAACAATGGACTGAAGCATCGGAACATGTTTGAGGTTGGCACAGGACAGGACAAGGCAGTGTTTTGTTCTGTTGTACATAAGGTTGCTATGAGTCAGAGCTGACTTGGTAGCACCTAACAGCAACAACAAAACTCTTGAACTGAATGAAGTGACTAATTCCTCCTTTTATAAAACTCTATGGAGAGGATAGCTGCTATTTTTAGTAGGCGGTTGACCCAAGACTATTGAAAGTGACCATGGGTATTGTCATTTTATGGAACATTATCATTATAAGACCTTGGACTATCACTGTACCCTAGTGACTTCTTGGATACACTTTGAATCCCCTATTATAAAGCTAGGGTTCTCTAGGTTGACTTTGGGGTACCTTATAGCTGTGTAGGAGTCCTGGTGTGGTGCTGTGAGTTAATGTGCCAGACTGCAAAGCCATTTGAACTGCAAGGTCGGTGGTTCAAGCTCACCAGCTGCTCCTTGGAAACCCTATACAAGGTCACTATGGGTCAGAAGCGACTCGACGGCACTTCACAACAATAACAACAATAGTTATTTAATTTTTTTTTTAAGAAATGTTTTTCCTAGTGATAAAAATAAAGCATTTTCATTGTATTAAGTTCAGAAAATACAGAGAAACAAAAATGAAAAATCACCTGCAAGCTCACCTCTCCAATGTGAGGTGAGCATTGTGGTGTTTAGCCTTTGAGTCTTTTTTTTTTTTTTTTTAATTTGTTTAAATTCCTTTTAAATGTGTGATTTTTATTAAGGGCTCACTGGTGTATATATCTTTTATAACCTTTCCATGTCATTGAAAATCCTTTTATAACATCATATTTTATGATTCCACAGTGGACCATACTAAGTTGGGAATGGGAGTTCATTAATGAAAATTAAAATGCTTTAATTTCTTGTACATAATCACATGACCTGAAGATAGTTCCTAAAAAGGGGTACCGCAAAAACAGTGGTGAGTGTTAGGGTATTCACTGGACAGGGTTCACAATTCTGACTACCATAAGCAGTATTTGTAGGCTTAATAAATTGGTAAGTTAAACAGGACGTCGATGTTAATAGATTTGATTACTTTACATATCTTTAGGCTGCAATTTTGTAAAATCTTTCTGTGTCTGAAAATTTTTACAAGAAATGTGCTTGTGATGCCGCAGGCTGCTTTCAGGCGAATTGTTTTGACTTCCTTAGTTTCTTTCAACAGAAATCAAACCAAGAAGCTCTTACTCCCCCTGCGTGTGTTTACATAGGGCCTTGTCCACCAGGAGGCACTGGGCAGGGGATTATTTGAGCAGTTATGGAAAGTTTCGTGTAGATGGGGGCACACTGTGTCTAATCCTGATTGATGAGGCTGGATTACTCCATATATTTATTTCTTTTTACAGGCAGTGCCTTCCTCAGTGCTATTTTTCTTGCCTTAGCAACATACCAGTCTCTGTACCCACTCACCTTGTTTGTCCCAGGACTCCTCTATCTCCTTCAGGTAAGCACTTATTGGTCAGCAGCCAGTGCCCAAGCGACATTTAATACATGACCTGAGCCCTACGGGGAGGGTCGGGGACTGGCCCTACAATTGTTAATAAAGGCATTGGAACTGGATAACTAACTTAAACCTGCTTGCTTCTACTTGAAACAAACAAAGACAACTTTAAATAAAGCAGTTCTAACTGTGCGTATCATTACAAATTTTAAGTGCATTTCATTTGATATATTTGTTGTCGGGATCTACCAACTATCTTGCATTCTCCTTTTCTCACTTAGTAGATGTAGATCTCTCTGAGCTCATTTTGTGACCTTTTTGTACTAACATTCATTTAGTTAGGTTCTTGTAGGGATTAAATGTGACAATGAGTGTACCTGATGTAATTCTTGGATGTGTACAGATGGTAGACATGAAAAATTTACTGCCTGCCATGCGCTAATCTGAGTACTTCACAGACACCATCTTACTTCAGGAACCTCATAAGAACTTTATGGTTTAGTCATGTGATTTAGTACTGATGAGGAATCTGGAATGTTGTGAAGTTAAGTCACTTGCCTGTTGTGTTGGAATGTGAACTCAGGCAGTCTGACATAAAAGCCTGATTTCTTAATCATCTCTCTTTTTTACTCAAATAGGAACACACACATCTCGTCAAGAGCATATAACCATTTGTAGGTCCAAATCCATCTTTAGAAGAGAAATGCTTCTTGAAAGTGTACAAGTGATAGGGCCAGGATTCAAACCCAGAAATGTCTGATTGTAGAGCTTTTGTTCTTAATCACAAATACCATTGTTAAAGCTGTACATATACATAGCTCCATTTATTGAAATTGACCATATGTTTGTCATTTTAAGTGATACTATATCATTATGTTGTTGCATGCATGCTTAGCTGGTCATTCTCCTTTTTGAGAAATTTGAGATATGCCTTAGTTGTCACTAGTATAAATTGTGTAGAAATTACTTTTTCCTTAAGATATGCTTTTTTGCTTAATTATTGGACCAAGATGGCAGATCAGGTGGAAGTGCAGTAAGAGCTCTGCCAGCAACAACACAGAATACCCAACCAAGCAGGCTCAGGGGATGGTCCCAGAACTCTGAACCACATATAAAGGAATATTTAGAAGGTTGGAAGGCTTGGAGCTGGGGAATTTTGGCAAAAGCAAGAAACCTATTGCTTTCTAGTCTGGGACGCTCAGCTGCTCCAGGAGCCGCCATCATGGGTGAAACCATGTGGGGGAAGGATCGGAGCGGCCACAGATGCCTGGCAGAACCGCTGAGATAAAGGTGTGGACATTCTTTTGGTAGCTGTTCATGGGTCCCTTGCTGTCTGTGCACCTCCATTCTGGTGACTATAGGGGTGCCTTAGCTAGTGGGCACCCCAGCCCCACCCTCGGAGGGTTCTACTACGCATGCCCACAGATCTCCTTGAAATTTAAAGACACAGTTTCCAATTAAAACCAAATGGCCACAGCCGGCCCTGAACTGTTTACCGCTAGAATAAAGGCATGAACGGGGATTGTGGGGCAGGACAAGCCAACAAAAAAAAGGAAATAAGCCAAAAATTAAATCCTCTAAGTTCCGTCAGAGCTCGGTCAACAACAACATGGAACACTGGGCCAAGAGGGCTCATGAGATGGTGTTGGAACTCTGAAACAAATATAAAGCTATGTTTGGAGGATTGGAGGGTTTACAGATGGGGAATTTGAAGGGAATCCAGAAAACCATTGTATTCTGGATCAAGACACTCAGCTGTTCCAGGAGC